TACAATATATATCAGGTTATACTACCATACAAGGTCAAAATACAATATATATCAGGTTATACTACCATACAAGGTCAAAATACAATATATATCAAGTTATACTACCATACAAGGTCAAAATACAATATACATCAGGTTATACTACCATACAAGGTCAAAATACAATATATATCAGGTTATACCAAAATGTCAGAACACTATACTCGGGACACAATATACCACATCGTCTGCACACAAAACCGAAATACATTACTACAGTGTCATAACCTCAGGACAATATATATATCAGAGTCAGAGCGGAAGTACAATAAGAATTTTTAAACCACAGTTTCAACATACGAGAACAACAATTACTACAACGTCAAGACACAGGGACAAATTACACCACATCACCAACATACATCTGGAAAAAGTCTTAACTCAAGTTCGCTAACCAGTAGACACCAAACCAAAACGGAAAGATATCGTGACTGAACCTACGAGAAGGATGACAAACAGGTTGTTCATTTATTTTAAAAGTTTCAAATACATATTTGATTTCCTCTTTTGCGAAAAATGGTATTTTTTGTATTTGCGCCTGTCCTATCTTTATGACGGATTGACATGTAATCTTAGGTGAGCATAACCTACTGCTGGTCATCTGTAAGGTTACGGCCAACAGGAAGTAACACATGTAGCAAGAGAACCGGTATGTCACCTTACGACCTGTAATATTAGTGTCCTATCGTTACCCGATGATTGATGTGCAGAACACCTGCCTCTGAAATACACGCCGACCGTTATTAGGCATTACCGGTAAATCAACGGACACTGTCAATCCACATATAAACGACATATAAATAATGTCTGAAAATAATATGATAAAACTTAACATTATCAAGTAATAATATCGTTAATGGTAATAGGCACTTAAAATTACACTTAATAAATTGGATATCCTACAATATGCTTTTAACCTCGAAAAACGTGTATTCTAGGTCATGTTTTACTGTTACTTGTGAAGCTGCACACGCAAAGCAATTGATAAAAACAAATTTAATTTTATTTATCATGGAGTTATTTTATAATTTCGTTTACCATTTGAGACCATTCATTACTAGCGCATAGCGTAAGTATAATTTTCTCGTGCATCTCCAAAATATGCTTACATATCGCTACAATTAACCATGAGTTGCATTTAGAAAAGTTAAGGAAGTATCTTAGATTTCACTTTGGTGGTTTAGAGCATTGCCACACATTCGATTAACTTACATGTGTATCAGAGTTAGAAATGCAACCAACGCAACAAAATTCGGTGTACCATGATTGATTTTGATAGTGTTGCCTTTTTTCTGTTTACCAATATGGAAAACTCTTACACTTTGTCCTCAGTATATCACACCAATTAATGTTTGAGATAGGCAGATTTTATGTAGGCATACTAGCATATATACGTCATGATCAGGATATGGCTCACCACGACGTACAGCAGCCAATCCACTCGCATAGACGGCAACATTCGTCTGTTAAAGACGGCACTTTAAGGTCAAAGTCGCTTGTCAAACTTTGTTGTTCACACACAAAATTCCGACAATTTATTTATGTACGTTAATGCATGGATTTCTCAAACATGTCAGGGCTTTTATTTCAATAACTGAGTTTATTGCCGAACGTGAAGCTCAAACGATATTTTTTTGTTTTTAATTGTTTTGTAAAAAGTATGACGCCATACCAACTGTACTTTCTCTAAAGTTTGTAACTAGTTAGATGCTTGTAAAAACAGAATGTATCACACCATAATTTAGCTTCCGCACAAAAAATAACATGATATTAGTTACGCAGAGCTGAAACCAAGAGTTTGTTAGCGAGCAAATGTCATAAAGAAATGTATTCCTTATAAAGGTATAGAAGGAGAAATCGATGCCAGAGGTATGCAAATATTACAGAATGGCGCTGAAGGTTTGCATTTATGACAGCTTGTAGTGTATTATGATGCAGGAAAGAAATGGATAATACGATCTGCAATGTCGCAATGCCATGTAACGATCTTTTGATAATTCGAGGTTCTTATATACCGCTTTATCATAACCTAGTTCGTAGGTCGTCTCAAAGCGGTTCACAAATTATTATCCGTGTTTATATGGCCTTTGCAACCAGCCAATATCTTTCTAAACTCCCTGGGGAGAATACAGCCGGTCATGCAATTTCGGGGCTCACAACTAACATTCTACAATTCTAGCACTGCCCATTCATTTACAGGTGAGTAGACTGGAACAAGCGAAGTAAAGTATATTGCTCAAAGATACAACACAGTGCCGTGCCGTGACTCGAACCCGCAACCCTTCGGTCACGAGCCTGGCGTCCTACCACTAAACCACCGTGCCTCCATATCACTACAAGGTTGTTTTTCACCAAATCCCGAACTTTCGTTTTCATTTCAGTATCAGTTTTTGCATTGTTTGCATCTTAACACATTTCTTTCAGAGATAAAATATCTTTCTATAGTTTGTCTTCCATTTTAGTTAAATATGTTTTATTCTACCGTAAATATCAATGGGATTGACCAATAATTTACAACATTCATCGAGACCCTTCCATAACATCATACATATACAAACTTACCATTTTAGCTATTTTCTTGTGATCAGTGAGGAATAGATGAATGAAAGGGGTGTAGCTTTAGACCCTATACCCCGTTATTGACCATTAATGGCTCCATTGAGGGCCTGTAACGAAATTTATTTATTTAATTTATTGCATTTTGGGATCATTTTGCGTATGACGATACGGTAACGATTAAATTAAATACAATGCGCATAAATACGGGTTTCCGAAATTCAGATTACGTTTGTGGAGTTGCCCTTCAGTGTGATACTGGCACTCTTTGGCAAATTAAATGGTATGCCCATTACAGCTCTGAAAACTTATTTCTTGACATTCTTGTCTAAGTTTCAATAAAAGAAAAATGGTGGACGAATAGGAGAGTCAAGGTAAAATTGTCAATCAAGGGCAAACTATTTTGTTTCAAATTGAGATGTTGCAGATATGTACATTTATTATCCGTTAGTGTTTCACATATCCATCAAATCAAACAAAGAGATTTAAAAGAGTATTTCAAACTTATATTAAAACAAAAAATATGTTTTGTTAAGTCGGCCCGAAAAGAGAGAGAGAGAGAACACAACATTCATATTTAAAGATTTATTTACAATAAAGCGCTAAACTATATATTTAAAGATATCAATACCATTAAATATTCCAGTAATGATATGGAAAAATTACCTACAAAAGAGAAAAAAATATAGTCATATGCTATATATAGTCCACATGGTCCACGGGGCGAGTCGTTGCTTACATTTAAATTGAATGTAAATGAGAACAAGCAATACCGGGATAATTTTGTTTTTAGAATCTTTAATAGACCCTTATACTTAATCACAAAGATTTTTTACCGTTCACTCAATTAAAAAAATATTGATATCGCCAGTGGGATTGTGAATCGATTTTCCAAGAATGCATACCACAAAACAATAAAAAAAAAAGTAAGAAATCAATCATTCGATATGAAATGTGTGGCCAAATCCTCGGTCATAAAACTGATTAGATTAAAAATTTAAGGAAATATGTGTATTTATAGTACGGCATTCAGGTATGGACTAGATCTGCCTTTGCATGGTCTACACTTTATAGCCGTGTATAAACATGTGAGTGCATCGAAGACTCACAACACAAAACATCTTACATTGAATTAATCTTCAAATAGACATTTTACAGTTTTAAGTGAAAATCCAATTGTTGATGTTATTTTCTATATACTAACAGATTCATCATATACCGTACTGTTTAAATAGCTGGCATGGTACCGGTGTTGTTGTCACTCTGTTTCTAAAGATTCAAACTGACTAAAGGGAAACAACTCTAAATTCGTTGATATTTGTTTCTACAACAGACCTTCACTATAAAGGAATCAACACCTGCTAAATGTATCACTGGATACAACGAACGACTCTCTTCATTATCCTCATATTGCTCATACAACGACTCATATTATAAAAAATAGTTTTATTACTACTGAAGTTGAGAAGATATCTGAAACATTACATTTATTTAATCATTCAACTCAAGAAATCCTATCTTAATGGTATCTGCAGCTGTAATTTTGGACTTTGTAAACATCCCTTCACAAGAAGAACAAGAACAACAAATGGTGAATTCAACACATGTTTGTATTTAATATTAGAAGATAAAAGTGATTAATTCATATCTTATCACATAGAGAACGTTTTATAGGAATTTTGTAAAAGCTGTGCCGTTTAACGAGAAGTTTAAAGATTGCTGGGAAGACAATTGCACTTTCTCTGCCGTTGTCTCTCGTAGTAAACACGAGAGAGATTATCGCATTGCTTCGACAGAGCTTTTGACATTTTTCTTTCCACAAAGCTGTGTCAACAATGCGGACTGTAATAGATAAAACTGTATAATAGAATTCTACAAAGTACGTTTTTGTTCTTAAAAGAAAGGTGCTGCATTCCCTGAGCCTGGAAATAC